TTAATATAGCATAATAGGTGAACTGCTATGATTTAGAAATATGTGCAATCTAAAGTACAATGGCTTGTTCAATGAATCGGCATCCAGTACTTGTGAATGAAACCAGGATCTGGCTTTGAAATTGTTGCATATTTCATGATTTATTGGAATCTTTTTTTCTTCAAATGCCCCCCCCCCTTTAATCTGGAGCTGATTTGTTCTAGATGAAATAAAATGAAATGGAAGCTGAATTAATAAGTTGGAGGAAGAAGCTGTCTGTTAAAACAGGCACAGTATAGTCTGGATGGTTCTTAATATGATCAGTCACTTTCAATTTGGCCCAGTAAAGTTAATGTATTATGACTTTGCATGGTGAGAATTGATATTATAATTCAAGGAAGTTTTAATTAGTGTTTGCCCCTAATTTTGTAAATACTACTCTGGCCACTTATATATTTTAAAGTGATTTTAACAATCTTATTTTGATGCTTTGTTTTTAATACCGTTTGCTTGACTTCTCTGAATGTAAAGATGAATTGTAAAACTGAATTAAACAGTAAGTAAGATGGGACATTTTACATGATATAATGACTGTGTGAAATTGATAATTAAAGTGTAAAATCAATGTTGAAATGGAGTATATGAAAGAAGAGAAACTTCAGAAGTCCTGAGGTATTTTAAAATTTAATGATCATTCTTCATTGCTCCACTTGTAAATATAGACTGAACTTTAATAATTGTTTTCTGAGGTTTTCGTGGGTGTTTGTATGTAGGTCTTTGGTTATTCAGGTTTTCTCCCGCGTCAAACTGGAAGTGTCTTGGCGACATTTCGACGAAGTCCCATTCGTCATCTTCAGGCTGGTGTTTTCAGCTTCTTGCTTCTAGGAATAAACTTTAATAATGTAAATAGAAATTGGTTGTTTTCCTCCAATATAAATATTGTTTTCTTGGGTATGATTTCAAGAGAGTTGCTTATGTTTCAGATATTGCTAGATTCCTCTCCATCACAGAAGATTTTTTTATTGCAATATAGAGGGAGGGAGATTTGATTGAAATTGGTTTTCTGCAAACTCTTCCATGTATTGCTTAAAATATTCCATACATTGCCAATAATTAATAAATCATTAATGTATTTATCTTTTGTGTCTATGCCTAGACATTGCCAAGATTTTATGTAAAAAAGCATGTTTTAGATATAATAAAAGTCATTATTAGATTACTGTATGATAAACAACAATACGCTTTTAAAGAAGTGTATTTTAAAAAGTGAGCTTTTCACAGGAGTGATAGTTTTCAATTATATGGATTATATAAATGTATACTTTATTGAGATGTAATAAGTTGAAGGTGATATGAAATAATAATGTCTGAAAGCCAGGTCTTTAATCGTTATTTTTCTTTTAAAACCACATTTCTTTGCATCTAAGAAGTTAGGAATACCCTGAAACTGAATTATTTTTCTTTTCTTCTTCCTCCATCCAGAAATTAGAAGGAAAAGGCAAAGTTGAGGCATTATGAAATATACTTTAGGTTATGTAGAAAATATTGAACTTTTCCAGATTTTTCCTTCTGGTAGTTCATGGGAATTTATTGGTATAATAATGGTTCAATTTTAGCACACTCCACCATTTTGTAACATTATTTCCATGGTTTAATATTTAAGAATTTTGGATGAATTTGCCCAAATTATAAAATTTTAGATATTTTCTTCACAAACCATGAACTTATGAAGAAATGTCATATCAGAACTTAGATCTTAGCATGTTGTTATGGTTCCAGCTAATGAAACATTTCAAAGAATTTCCAGGCATTATTTTCCTAAAAGTCTTTTATTGTTACAAAATGTCGGCACAGGCACAACGGAGGGATGCTAGGATCTAAGTTCTCTTCCTCTGAGCAGTTAAATTATCAGCATGTTCCCTCCCTAAATTAGCTGTCATATCTCACATTATCCAATTAGTGTGACGGTCAAATGTTTTCTTCCTTTTTCTTTCCCGGGCTTTATCCCCAACCCCCCTTCTGCTCTGTATTAACCCCATAATTACCAGACAGTTCTGCATATTGTCAAAAGCAAGAATATACAATATTTGCAGCGTTGACAAATTAAATGCTATCAGTCTCATTTATTGATTTTAAAAAGAAAAGCTGGTTAGTGTGTGGAAAAGGATATGTAAAAGCTTGTTAGTTTATGGAAATTTTTTTTACAAAGAAACGAACATTTGTGAAAAAGCACCTTTGGGACAACCGTGACCTGCATGACTGAGAATCTCCATAGACATTTCTCACTTTTTCTCTGTTGAAATGTCTTATAAGATTCCAGAAGTATTGAAAATTAATGCTGCCCGAATGTGCCTTAATTCTCTATTATATTTTACACTAATATCTGAATACAGTAGTGGTAATAACAGTGGTATTGGGAGAAAGCCTCTTAGCTTAAATACTGTTTCTTTATGTACATATCAGTTTAAAGCCAACATTATTTTGTGGGGGTGAGGATGATTAAAATTTTGTCTGGGCACAAGAGAGTCATCTTTATAAACTGATAGTATCACAGGCAACAAATTATAATGTTCTATTGATAATTGGTGGTTAGTTGATGCTTCTATTATCTGGCCAAAATTCATAAGAGTAATAAAAGCTTGTGATTGTTAAGATTAAATTGTTTGTTGTATGGTGTAACAAGTATTTTAATGCTTTACAACTTAAAGCCTCTTAATTTTGTTCCCGCTCATTGTTTTTTCTTTCTTTCCATTTTAAAAGGATATAATTAGTAAATTGGCTTTCCTACTAAATACTACTTGGTGGAAAAGAAACAAGTGGTATTGTCTTTCCAAGAATATACATATACTGTTGTAGACACAACTTGGAAAAAAGTTTTGCAGAAATCTTGTTTTCTGATAAATTGGTAATATGTATGCAGTTATAGGACTGATTATTTTTACAAAGGTTGGCTACATGCAGATGTTACTCTAAACTATTATTTAGAGTTTTTCCAAAAATGAGCAATAGTGAGCTTCAGAGAAGTGAATGCATATTTTTATTGTTTAAGATTATATTTTAAATGAACTGCAATTTTACCTACTGTGTTTATCAGGAGTACAGAAAACAAGTACAGAAAGGCAAAAGGAAAAACCATAATTAAAATTTGAGCCATAGTCATCACTAGTTGCCACTTGGATGGAATTTATATAGTTTAGGGCAGGAGTGTCAAATTGACGGCTCATGGGCCAGTTGCATCATACAGAGGCTGCATCCACTCCATCTCTGGCAATGCAAAAAAAGTCATGATACATCCCAACACGTCACGTGATGTGGCAACTTTGAACCTGTGGTTAGGGCATAGATTGAAACACTAGGCAGATGATTGATTTTCTTTCTTTCTGTAACCACATGTTGGAGTAATGATGGGTAGAACAAAAGTCTTGGGCCCAATTCAGAATAGAACAATGACATAAGTCCTCCTATCAACAGAAGGTAAGCAGGCATATGAGCAGGCAACTTAAAACCCTATTTTGTGATTTGGATTCATTATAGGTGAGAGTGTTTGGCTGGGAAGATAACTACCATATGATTTTTTAATAAATTGCAGACACACCCCCTTAGATTTAGCCTGCATGCCCCCCTCTACTATCAATAAGATTGGTTCAAACCACTGTTCCAGCAGACAGTAAAGTTGATTTTACTGTGATTGGAAAAAAAATGACAAATATGTGGTTTGTGCTCCCTCCTAATATGCACACATCCATTCTCAAAAGCCAGAATCAGATCAGAGTTGGAAGGTCTGTTGGAGGTCTTCTAGTCTAGCTCCCTGCTCAAGCAGGAGATCCCATACCATTTCAGACAAGTGATTGTCCGGTCTCTTCTTAAAAACCTCCAGTGATGAAGCAACCACAACTTCTGATGGCTAATTGTTCTCACTGTTAGGAAGTTTCTCCTTAAGAGCCATAGTGGCGCAGTGGTTAGAATGCTAGTTCTGCTGACTGCTGGCTGCTAGCAGTTTGGCAATTCGACTCTCACCGGCTCAAGGTAGACTCAGCCTTCCATCCTTCTGAGGTTGATAAAATGAGGACCCAGATTGCTGGGGGCAATATGCTGACTCTGTAAATCACTTAGAGAGGGCTGTAAAGCACTGTGAAGAGGTATATAAGTCTAACTGCTGTTGTTATTAATTCCAGTTTGCTTCTCTCCTTGATTAGTTTCCATCCATTGTTTCTTGTCTGGCCCTCTGGTGATTTGGAAAATAAATTGACCCCCTCCTCTTTGTGGCAGCCTCTCAAATACTGGAATATTACTATTATGTCCCTGCTACACATATCTATACTTTGTTTTGACTGTGTATTCAGTTAAACCTTTGTCTTGTAACATGTTTGTTTGAATTCCAGCAAAAATAGCTTTTTGCTGTAGTAATTAAGGTACTGGATTAGAAGTAGGGAGATCCAGGTTCAAGTTTACCTTCGGCCACAGAAGCTCATCAGGTGACTTTGGGCTAGTCACTTTCTCCACACCAGTCTAACAGACAAGGTGGTGATTGTTATGGGGTAAAATAGAAGGAAGAAATAACAATGTAGGCCACCTTGATCTAGACCAAAGTCAGAGTGCAAATGTAATGAATAAATTAATGAATGCACAAACTTTCCACAACACAAAGATATATAAACAAACCATGCACAATATGCATAGCACAGGCTTTCTAGTGTCCCCTTTAAATGGGGGTGGTGGTTGTGGAAATTAAAACTCTCCCTATCTTACTTGAGTGCTCCTGAGAACTTGGATGCTTCTCCTGTAAATTCCTCTGGAAGGTTAGGACAATATAGTTCTGGCATCATACTTTATTTAGAAAGCTGGATATATTTTTATTCCTTGACTGTCTTCAAGTACATCAGCAGTTAATAGGATGCCACTGTCATAATTTAGGAGGCACGGCATTTCCTTGAAGCCACATTTTCTGGAAAAGGCTGTTCAAACTGTTTGCCTGTTAATTTCATATTAACTTTTGCTAATACTTTCACCTTTATTTATAGATTCATCTTGCATGGAAAAACTACTTTCTAAAGACTGGAAAGAGAAAATGGAGAGATTAAACACAAGTGAACTCCTTGGAGAAATAAAAGGTAAACTCTAATATGGATACAATGTCTTAATCTAGAGGAGTAGTCCTCTAAAAAGATTGATGGGTGATAAATTCCCAGGAATGTTAATCTAAACTTTATATGTAATTTGAAGGAAATGGGCTTTCAGGGCAGCAGTTCCTTTAGAATGTTTGGTTTTATATCCACATGGAATTTATTTTGTATTTAGCCTTGTCTCAGTGCTGATGAACTCTGTGGGATGAGATTGATTCTGATGCCTGTGTTGGATATTTGCTTGATACATCTATCACAAAGCAGCTGCCTCTTATTAAGCAGGATCTTGGGAACTCACTGTCACAATCTTTTCTTTACTTAAATTCCCTTAGATGGTGCAGTCATGGGTGGTTTATGAAAAAAAACTTGTTGCATTTTTGATTTGAGAACAAAAATCAGGGCTTTGGGTTTCATATTTCTTTGGTATAGCCATTTCTTTCCTCTTGGAATTATTGATAATTGTAACCGACTTTGTGAAGCAAGAAATAATTTAAAAACAAACTAAAATGATTAAAGAATCCCAAATAAAAGAAATAAAGGTGTGGTCTTGTGAAGAAGAACTCCTCTTTGCACTGATTTCTAATGAGAATTCTTTATTTTAATTTCCCCAATTCTTTACTTTAGAAGGAAGAAGTTGTTTGGAGAATAAATGAAATTTGTATTCTTCTTTTAATACATTTCTGCTTCAAGACAATTTGAGTTATGGGGAAAGGCTGTCAGGGTAAAAAAAAATGGGGGGAAAGGAAAGTCAACCATTTTCTTTTCTGCCAGTATTACACATATACATACATATACAATACAACATATAGAACAAAAGGTAAATGTTGCAAAACAGGCATCATTTTAGCATTAGATTTTGTAGTTTGTGAGCATTTTTCTTCTTAGGTGAGACTTTAAAAATAGCTTCCCGTCTCCATGGGCAGTTAGTCTGTTAGCAATATTTTATAACAGGACCTATTCTTGATTAAGCCAAAGGCTTATTCTAGCTCTATCTTTGTTCCCATTGTTGGTAGCTAAATGCCTGTGAGAAGCCCAAAATCAATCTGCAAGCGCAAAAACATTCCTTCATGTTCTTGTGCAAGTAATATCTCAGTGCTGGACTCAATGTGTAGCCATTATAATAGCCTATGATAGCCATCGATATCCTTATTTTCCATGAATTAATATCCTTTTAAAACTTTCCAAGTTGATTCTAGAGTTTCACCAGATAATTCTCCAGTATGTGTCCCAATGTAAAGACTGAATTATATTTAATAACTTCTCTCTCATGGTCTTATGTATCACTTTTAATTAGTTTTGTAGAATGTTCTAATTGTAGGTTTTATTGTATGTTGCCCACTTACTGTGAGATGGGCAACCAGATAAATTTGATGAATAAAATAAATTAAAAATGAATAAAAATTATTTTCAATCTTACCAATTTGTTTTGTTTGCATGCATCTTTTAGGAAGAGATATTATCAGAGGATTATATCTCTAATCAGCTAAATCCTAGTAAGATTCTTGAGAAAAAATGATTCAGGATAAATAACTGTTGTGATGAAGGGGATCCTTCACAGTATACCAGGATTAATAATGGACGTCGACTCTTTTCTAAAGAGTAGCTGCTTCTGGCCTAATAGGGGTATTCTGTGGATTCTTCTGGCTATTTAGAAGACTTGGCTATCTGGTTAGAGCGCAGGTGTCAAACTCGCCATGTCATGTGATGTGTCACAATGTATTGTGACTCTTTTTTGCACTGCCGGCAGTGGGGTGGTATGATGAAACTGGCCCACGGGCCAGCAGTTTGCCACCCCTGGGTTAGAGGATGCAGAATTTGGGGCATGTGTGCCAGTGGCTAGTATAGGTGTGCCTGATGCTTCTCACAGGAAACTTAAATTGCTGTTGTTGTTGTTAGTTGGAAAGTCGTGTCCGACCCATTGCAACTCCATGGACAACGTTCCTCCAGGTCTTCCTGTCCTCTACCATCTTCTGGAGTCCATTTAAGCTCTCTCTTACAGCTTCAATGACTCCATCCAGCCACCTCATTCTCTGTCCTCCCATTCTTCTATTGCTCTCAATCTTTCCCAGCAGTAGGCCCTTCTCCAGTGAGTCCTTACTTCTCATTAGGTGACCAAAGTATTTGCGTTTCAACTTCAGGATCTGGCCTTCTAAAGAGCAGTCAGGGTTGATCTCTTCTAGGACTGACTGGTCTGAACGCTTTGCAGTCTTCTCCAGCACCATAGTTCAAAGGCCTCAATTCTTTGTCTCTCAGCCGTTCTTGTGGTCCAACTTTCACATCCATACATTGCAACTGGGAAAACCATGGCCAATTGCTGTAGTCCCAGTCTAATCCATGTAGATGGCAATTTGGAATGTTAATGGATTTTTAGGAAATTTTATAGGAAGACATTTGTGGAAGGGTGTATTTGTGATACAATCCTTTTCTGACATCCTTCCGAAGAACCAAACACAGTACACTGTCCAATTTAGGGGTTTTCCCCCCTTTAAGTACCTCTTATTTCTCCTTTAATTTCTCTTCTCTTTTAATTCCCTCCCACATTCATTTCTGCTGGAACCTGTTATTTCTTCCCCTCTATTTCAAACTGTCTAAATTTTCATTTTCTGTTACTGAATAAAAAGAATATGGTTATATATCCTCATTAATTGTTTATCTTGTAACACCTTACATTAATCTTAAAACATAAAATTAATATATATCAATCCACAGCCTGAAACATAATTATTCCACTGATATACCCTGTCACAGGTTTATTTTAATTGGCATATAATCTCCTTTAAGATCATATAAAGAAGTTATGATTGTTCCAGCAGTCTAACAAAAGGGTGGATTGTGAATACTCTCTCTGAGCAATGGGCTCTAGTGTCCATTTCTGGAGGAACTTACTACTGAAACACAAACTGTATTTATAGCTATTGTGGCTTAAATGTCCCATGTGGTCTTTGTATAGCATGTTCTATTTTGGGATCGACATTGACTGATGTGAATAGCTCTGCCCACTGAAGAAAGGCATTTTGCATTGTGAAGTGCTCTGAGTACACAAATGACCAGTAGACTCTTTTTACATTTCTCCCTGGGTTTTAAATGACTTCACATAAGTCAGATATTTTCAAATTAAATCAGTGTGGTGGTGGTGATGTGGATTATTTGTAATTTCAGTCGTATAATAATAGTTAACAAACAGGAAGGTTTATGCAGGTTTCTAGACTTTAAAAGCTTGGCAAAGAAGTTCAGCTCTGTAAGAGATTCCATCTACAATGTAGGCAAAATCTGTATTGAATTTCATGCTGATGGAAATAGCACTTTCTCCTTTTAGGAGCTAGGAGAAAGACAGCCATGAAGTATAATGGCATGCATATTTTAATTGTGATGCTTTTCTGGAATCATGTTGGGACCACCCTGGGAAAGTTGTTGTGCTATGTTATGGTTACAAGTGCTACCTCTTGTTTTAAGAGGAGGAATAATTACTTTTGAATTAAGAATTCAACAGTGGAAGATATGGGTAAGCTGTCAGAAGTTCAAAATCCATGATAACAGAAAACACGAGATCAACCCGAATAAAAGGTTACCATGTTAGTTTGTTTTGCAGTTTATTTGAGATGTGTTGAGATTATTTCTTTAACAGTGCAAAACCACTTTTGGCATGTCGTGAGTGTATACAATAGCTTACTTTATAAATATATATATCTTGCATATATATCACAGAAGCAGCCATAGGTTTTTAATTATGCCACTTTGTATGGTTGTAGACATTTCAAAGCTCCCCTTTGTGCTCTGTGTTATAAATGTCTTTTGCTTCTTTTGAAGTCTACATGATATACATATGAGCAATTAAAAACACAGCTCAGGCTTGGAGACACTGGGTCTTCTTAATTAAACCTCAAACAAAAGCTACAAGCAAAAAACCCCTCACTTGTATTAGAGTCATTGTTAACTGCTAGGCTTTAGAAAATAAATATACAGGAAAAAGATCAGTTGGTTCCAATTAGAGAAATCAGTGTAAATATTGAATACAAGGGGCCAGGGGAAACCCCTTAAAATTAATACCAGGTCCTAATTAGTAATATACTACAGGGCATAACTTTATTTTTAGTAATGAATTTATTAAAGTGATCAGATGGCCAGAATGTGTATGTGTTTTAGGGTTACTATTTCATAAAAATTGATGGGAAAAGAAAAATAAAGTTGGTCAAAACTACAGCCATCTCAAATTAAATATATTTGTGTTATATTAATATCTGTGGAAAAGTTTGCTAATGTACTCTTTTCTAAATAGTGTTGGGAAATAAAGTCGTTAATTTTAAAATGTATATTTAAGTAACATTGCTTATGCATATTAAAGTGAGAGCTGATAAAGTCAGGGAACTGTACTTTACACTTCACAATTAAGCACCCTTGAAGTCAGTGTTTCATACTGTCCATTTGAAAACATCAAAGGTATGAAGCATTTTCAAGATGGGAATGGTTTTAGAACAGTGATCCTTTTTTGTATTCATTAGATGATGTGGGCGGGGCATGCCATCTAAGGCTGGCTTTATTTTTTTTATGTATTATATATATATGTATATCATGAAAATTATACTTGTCATTTCCTAAGCAGTAGCAAGCATGACTTTTGTATTTCCGTCTGTCTTTACTGTACAAAAAATAATAATAATAACATTCAACTCTGTTCATTGTTTTCTTTGTGTCTTTGCCTTCTATATTCATAAGCTGACTGATCTAGAGCAGAGGTCCCCAACCTTTTGGGCACCAGGGACCGGTTCCGTGGACAAAGGATTTTCCACAAACTAGAGAGTGTGTGGTTTTGTGTGCTGCCTGCACCCCATGGATGGGGCTTTGCTTGTTTGTGCGGACTGGTTGCTGGCATGCCGCAGCCTGGTACTGATCCACGGCCCGGGGGTTGGGGACCCCTGATCTAAAGTATAGGCAATGCTTAAAAAAAATATTTCAATTAGGCAGAAAAAAAAGCTATACATAGTCATATT